AAACAAATTCACCACAACACAAATTACAAATTCCCCAAATCCCCAAAAATTTTCAACCACAAATCAAAAAATTCCCAAAACATCAAATTCATCAAAAACACACCAAAAAAAAAAAATCACATCACCAAACATCACAAAAAAAATAACCGCCACAACACAAACACTAAAACAAAAAACAACAACTTACCACCAAAAAATCAACACCCACAACTAAAATAAAACCTAAACGCAACTTCAGACACCACACCTCAACACCACTAAAAACGCTAACAACAAAAGTCGAATCCAGACCACTAACCATAAACTACACATCCCCTCCTCAATAAAACACCCCATCACAAAACACAATTCATGAAAGCAAAAAAACCCAACAAACACACAATAAGAGGACTACATAACATAAAGAAAAAAAAAAAAACAAAACAAACAAAAAAAAGTAACACCCACAAAATACCCCACCAACCAACCACAATCATCATTCAAACAACCAATACACCATTCACCACAACATCATCATTGATCACAGTCACAACGACATCATCATTAACACATTAACCACAACTCATCATTAACAATTCGCCACAACATCATCATAACAAATTCGCCACAACATCATCATTACACATTCACCACAACATCACTATTAACACATTCACCACACAACATCATTATACCACATTCACCACAACATCAGTAAATTAACACATCAACACCACAACATCACATTAAACAAATGTCGGTTTCGACAACATCACCATTAACACATTCACCACAACATTCATCATTAAAACATTGCCACCATCATCATTGCACATTTCGCCCACAACATCATCATTACACACTCACCACAAACATCATTCCATTAACAAATTCACCACAACATCATCATTAACACATTAACCACAAAACATCATATTATCAACATTAACCACAACATAATCATTAACAAATTAACCACAAACATCATCATTAACACATTCGCCACAACATCATCATTGACACATTCGCCACCTTAATTAATCATCCCACAACACATCGCACATTATCATTAACACATTTCGCCCACAATCATCATCACATTACCACACCATTCATTCACCACAACATCATCATTATCACATTCACCACAACATCATCATTAACACATTCACCACAACATCACCATTAACACATTCACCACAACATCACCATTAACACATTCACCACAACATCATCATTACCACATTCACCACAACATCATCATTACCACATTCACCACAACATCATCATTAACACATTCACCACAACATCATCATTAACACATTCACCACAACATCATCATTAACACATTCACCACAACATCATCATTAACACATTCACCACAACATCATCCTTAACACATTCACCACAACATCATCATTATCACATTCACCACAACATCACCATTATCACATTCACCACATCATCATCATTATCACATTTACGACAACATCATCATTAACGCAAGTACCACAATATCACCATTATCACATTCACCACAAAATTATCATTAACAAATTTACAACATCATCATTAATACATTCACCACAAAATCACCATTTACACATTCACACAACATCATCGTTAACACATTCACCACAACATCATCATTAACAAATTTACATCATCATCATTATTAACAAATTCACCACAACATCATTTTTATCAGCAGCTTTATCATCTTCGATGCCACCATCGCCTCTGTAACCATTGGCCATATCTGCTGATGGTAGTTTATTTTTCAGAAAATGGCTGCTTTAATTAAAAACGAAAAAACAATGCAGGTGGACTTACCGCTGCTGTTAATACCTCTAGTGAATGCTTTATGTATCTAATGTGCGACTTATCACACGGGGCAGTGATGGGCACTTTATGTGATTTTTACTGTCGAAAGAATGGCTGCATACTTGGAATAATATGTTTGTGAGGGGGTTGAGGACACGACTCGTAACTTACTCAGATATCATTATCCACATCAAACTCACTGACTGCAAAATCTCTTTTTAGAAATAAATATGTTATTTACTCTAAATCTTGTTATATTCTTCTCTCTGCCCAGATAACAGTGGACTGCAAAAACTATCGTCTGGAAAGACGGACAGGTGCCAATGATGAATGATGGCAAACTTGGTGCAGAATTCTTCAACTTATTATGGATATTAACCAGAAAACTTTGGTATTCTGACAGGATCTCGATTTTAATCAACAACACGATCTTTGTGTGAGCAAGACTATCTACATCTGATCTCAACAAACGATCATTGTGTGAGCAGCCAGTATCTACATCTGATCTCAACAAACGATCATTGTGTGAGCAGTCACTTTCTACATCTGATCTCAACAAACGATCACTGTGTGAGCAGTCTCTATCTACATCTGATCTCAACAAACGATCATTGTGTGAGCAGTCACTATCTACATCTGATCTCAACAAACGATCATTGTGTAAACATCCACTCATCATCATCATCATCGGGTGCCTTGCCGACTGGCGTGGGCGATCATGCTTTTCCATAATCTGCTATCTCCTGCAGCATGTATCAGTTCGTGTGCCGACACTCCCCCCTGCCATGCAACAAGATTGTCAAGCATCTTCTCTCGCTGTCTTCCTCTATCCCTCCTTTCATAGATCTTTCCCGTGGTCACAACATTTTCTATTTTCCCTCTTCTCATAACATGGCCTAAGAATGATGACTGTCTCCTTCTGATGTCTGTGATAAGTTGTCTTCGGGCTCCGGCCTCTTTCAAAACGTCTTAGTTGCTCATTTTGGCTGTCCAAGGCATTCTAAGCATTCTTCTGTAAAACCACATCTCTGAGGCCTCTAAAAATTGTTTGGCCTGCCTACCGATTGTCCAGGATTCACATCCATATGTTCAAACTGGATGTATGTAGCCAGCAAGAATTCTTTTTCTAACTCTCAATGACAAGGATATATTGTACAAGATGTTTTTCATTTTATAAAATGCAGTTTTTGCCTGTCCTATTCTGTTTCTTATCTCAGTTATGCATCTTCCATCGGATGTTATCCATGTGCCCAGATACTTAATTTTTTGTACTTGTCCTAAAATAACACCATCGACTTTTATTACACATTTAGGAATAATTAGTTTTTTTTTTTATACCACCATTACTTCTGTCTTCCCATTATTCAAACTGAGGCCCATTCTTCCACTTTCTAACGCCACAATGTCTATCATTTTCTGTAGTTCTTTCTGACTTGTTGCTATCAAGAGTGTGTCATCAGCATTACATAAATTGTTTATATTGTGCCCACCAACCACAATTCCGGGCATATCAATTAAAGATCTCATTATATATTCTCTTTATATTGAAAACAAATCAGGTGACAGTACACATCCTTGGCGTACTCCCCTCTTTATGCTTTGAAATGTACCTAAACATTTGTTAATTCTTTAGCTACTGTTTGCTGCCAATATATATTCTTTATTATTCGTAGATCTTTACCATCAATGTTTAATTTTTCTAACAGTTTGATTACTTCTTCATGCTTCACACAGTCAAATGCTTTACTATCCACTATCTACATCTAACTCAACAAACAATCATCGTGTTATCATCTTGTTCACAACCAAGCGAAGTGTGTGCGCTGTTACAGTGAAGTGTCTAGATGTGAACTAAACATCCAAATAATTATGTGAATGATCATTGTATTGATTTCAAGCAGAAATCCTCTTTGCGCCAAGATTTCAAACAGACATCGCAATCTGTTTCACAATACCCCCCCCCCTCCCCCACCCCACCCCAATTCATAGAATAATTATATTACAGAGTATTCTTCCCGTAATTAAAGAATAATATTTCACAACGGCCAACAGTCAGTGAATAGTTTCATTTCACAATAGCCGACACTAAAGAGAAAAAGACATTTAACTATATCCCACAGCAAAGAAGATTGGTGTGTATAATAATCGACTATAAATGAAGAGTATTATTTCAGAATAACCCAACTGTAACGTAACAGCACTTTGCTATTGCTGGTATTGGAGGTAATATAATTGAGAGATCAAATTTAGAGGTCAGATATCGCACTGTTGATTTATGCTAACATTCTTTGTGGACGTGTGTTCTCACAATTAATACCTGTAGTTGTCTCATTGATTACCCAGCGCTGGTTATTTCCAAGGATAACATGTCTTGGGCGTGTGTGTCCCCGTCTACCATCTTTTCTGGTGATCAAATGTTGATTTCCACGACTGTTGGTTGCGTTATGTTCAGAATGTTGGTACACAGAAAACTTGATAGTAGATAAGGAGCAGTAACATTTCTCCAAGCGCCATAGAACAAACAGCCACCTGCGAGAAAACGAAACAGTTGTAGTACTTAATAGAATATCAACCATAAGAAAAAAGGAAATCCACGCAACATTGTCAATATTTCTTCGGTTACAAATTTGTCAGCGTCAAATACGTGTATAAGTAAAAAAAAACAGCTATTGAGAAGCACTGATAGAAATAGTGAAAGAAGTCCATTTTAAAGTGGCTATTTATTAACCATTAACATATCCTGCTCGGACAATACGTAGCATTGTCAGGTCATGGACAGCCATTGAAGTCACGTGAAATACACACTTATGTATTGTTTCCACTTATAGAAGTGACACAAATAAATAATTAAAACAAAAAATTTTCAGGGAAAGAAGAATTCTCGCGCATCTGCGTAGGAAAACTAGAAAGCGAAACACTGTCGAGTTTTAATTTCTGGACTTTGTGTAGAAGGAGACTCGACGAGTGGACAAGTGAGGAACCAGTCTTACTCAACAGATCGTCATCTGCTGGCTTCTCCAGCACTGCAGAGTGGATCCGCCATGGGTAACGGATCCTCGTTTGATCAAGCCAGGACAGTATTTCTGGATATTAACGGCAAAGAGGAAAAGGTAAGTACTGGTTCTGCTACAGGTATATCTTCTTCTGTCTTCGTTGCGTTCGGTGTCGTATGCTCAGGTCAGACTGTCAGGTGGGTT